ACAAACGTCACTGTTACCCGGTATCACTAACTTAATAGCCACAAATTCCACTGTCTACTCTTCATGGAACCCAGAGACTGATTCATATATCATTTTAATTGTTACTTTTTTACTCAATTCACATTTTTAACCTGGATGTGAGTGTGTCATGTTTTACATAGCAGCTGATAAACTCACCAAGAAAGCCTGGTAAATTTGGCTTCTTTTAATACATGAATACATTTGGATGGAAAAGAGATTCAGGCGGGAAGGGTTCCTTCATAAAGTAACTTTGTGAAATCAACCTAAAGAGGGGTTGAATTAATAAAAGGGAGACAGTTCATCCCTTCTCACCCAGGAAATAATCATTTGGGGAGATCCTGTCTGGGATCATGGCAAATTTGGGAGTCTCACATGGGAACTTCCAACACTGTTATTCATATCTTATTATAGGGTCTCTTGTACTGTTACTTACATCTGATTGGAGGGACGCTGTGCTGTTACTGGCATTTGATTGGAGAGATTTTGGGTTGTTCCTGCAGTCTGATTGGACGGAGTGTGGCTGCACCTTTGGATTGATTGGAGGGGATTCTGCACTGTTTCTGGGATCTGACTGGAGAGACTGTTACACTTCATAATGCTAAAGAACTGTGGATTCTGGAAATCAGAAACAAAAACACAAATTGCTGTGAAAACTCAGTAGCTCTGGCAGCATCTGTGGAGAGAAAGCAGAGCAAATGTTTCAGGTCCAGTGATCACTCTTCAGAATTGATTGTAGCTAGGAAAAGGTTGGCATATATGCTGATGATAGGGTGGGGGAAGCAGTAGACAGTAGATGGAGATGGAGCCCAGAGAGAAAGAAAACAGTTGGGCAGACGAAGGAATGGGTAAAGGTCAGCGTGCGAGAATCAACAGCTGCTAATGGGCACCATTGATGGCTGACAATGGGTTGTTAGTGGTGTCCCCTCTACTCCATCTCACCCATTCTAATCTATCTCCATGTCATCTGAAAAATGGTGGTGCTGTTGTTGTCTAGCGGACTGATTTCTACCTTGCAGAGACTGAGCACCAGCTCTCAGATATCTCCTTCTATCTCCCCCTGGATCATGACCCACCATGGAACATCATTGTGTCCACAACGGTCACTAACCTTATTTCATCTGGTGATCTCTCCACCACTGCTTCCAAACTCATAGCCTCCCAAACCCACACAGCCTGCTCCTACCTCCTTCCAAAAATCCATAAATAAAACTGCCTGGGCATACTCATTGTTTCTGCCTGCTCCTGCCCCACGCAACTCATCTCTTCCTACCTTGACTTGATTTTTTCTCCCCTTGTCCAGTTCCTTCCCACTTACATCCACAATTCTTTGACATTTTGTGTTAATTTGTGGGCTTTAGCTGCCTCCTCTTCACTATAGACATGCAATCCCTTTACACGTCCATTCCCCATTAGGATGATCTCAGGCATCTCCACTTCTTCCTGAAGAAAAGGACTGAACCAACCACCATCACCCTCCCCCACCTGGCCAGGCTCATCCGTCACTTTCAACAGGTTCTCTTTTAACTCCTCCCACTTTCTTCAGGTCACACAGGTGGCACTGTTATGCCTGTCTCTTCATTGGATATGTGGAACATTCCTTGTTCCTGTCCTATTCTGGCCTCCACCGACAACTCTTTCTCCAGTATATCGATGACATCATCGGTGCTGCTTCCTTTTCTTGTTGAAATTGGAAAAGTTTGTCAAATTCGCTGCTAATTTCCACACTGCCCTCACCTTCACCTGATCCTTCTCTGATTCCTGCCTTCCCTTCCTCACATCTCTGTTTCCATTTCTGGGAATAGTCTGGCCACTGATATCCACTATAAACCGGCTGGAACCCAAAGTACCTGGACTATACATCCTCACACACTGCTTTCTGTAAAGACTCTTTTCCATTCTCCCAGATCCTCTATCGCCATCACATCTGTCCCAAGGATGCCAACTTCAACAAGGTGAGCTCTGAAATCATAGATCATAGAATCCCCACGGTGTGGAAACAGGCCCTTCGACAACAAGTCCACACCGACCAATAATTTCTCCAGATACTGAAATGTGATTTGAACTCGTGACTCTGGATATTTTGTACATGTTTCTGGTTTACCAGCCCATTAACATAACCACCATGCTACTCTACAGCCACTTCCCCCTTCCTCACCTGAGGATTCCCCAGCACCGTTGCTGATGGGGTACTTGGCCAGGTCTGATCTATCTCCCACACCTCTGCCCTCACCCCCTCTCTTCCCTCCCACAACAGCAATAGGGACCCCATGTCCTTACCTACCATCCCACCATCATCCACATCCAGAGGATCATGAGCTGCCATTTCTGCCACCTCCAGCAGGATGTCACCACCAGACGTATATTCCCCTCCTCTCCCTTGTCTGCCTTCCACAGGGCCCGTTCCTTCCAGGTCATCCTGGTCCACTCCTTCTTCCCATGCACCACTGCAGAAGGTGTAACACCTGTCTATTTACTTCCTCCCTCCTCAGTATCCAAGGGCCCAAACACATCTTCCTGGTGAAGTAGTGATTTACCTGCACTTCACTCAGTCTAGTCTCCTGTACATTGGGGAGACGAAGCATAGACTAGTGACCACTTTGCAGAACATCTACGTTCTGCTTGCAAAAAGACCCTGAGCTACCTGTTGCCTGCCACTTTAATACACCACCCTGTTTCCTGGCCAACATCTCTGTCTCAGGCTTGCTGCAGTGTGCCGGTAAAGCTCATCGCAAGCTAGAAGAACAACACCTCATTTTCCACTTGGGGACCCTAGAGCCTTCTGGACTTAATATCGAGTTCAACAATTTTGGGGCCTGAGGCACCTTCTCCCATGTCCTTTTCCCCACTGCCACACACCAGGCCTTAGTATCACGTGGTCTGCCACCACAAACAACCTATTGTCAGCCACTAAATAGTCCCCATTAGCAGCTTTTGATTTCCCCATGCTGACCTTTACCCAGTCCTTTGGCTGTCCAACTATTTTTTATTCTCTCTCTGGGCTCCATCTCCACCTATTGTTTACTCCTTTCCCCTTGCCCATTCCCATCTTTCGCATCCATACCAGCATTTTCCTTGCTACAGTCAGTTCTGAAGAAGAAACGTAAGCTCTGCTTTCTCTCCACAGATGCTGCCAGGCCTGCTGGGTTTTGCCAGTAGTTTCTGTTTTTGAGACTGTGACAGCCGCTATTCTGCACCCCCCACCCCTTCCACCGCATCCCCCCATCCCCCACCCCCTCACTGGGGTAGTGAGCTGGAAATCAAGGCCCCACCATTCCCACGGTCATTACAAAATTAAAAGATTTTAAACAACGCAACAATGCACAGAATTCCCCAATTTACCTGTTGTTCAGACCAAGGCTGACAGAAAGCACAGACCAGGTTTCTTAACAAGAATTGTGCTTGAGAACAGTTATAATTTATTACAAACAAATAAATTCTAACTACAGATAAACTCGGCTCTGAGGAAGAGTCACTGGACTGGAAACGTTAACTCTGTTTCATTCCATAGATGCTGCCAGCTAAGCAATGGCCTAGAATTATTATCGCCGACCTGTTAATCCAGAGACCCAGATAACATTTCAGGGATAACAAGGTGTAGAGCTGGATGAACACAGCAGGCCAAGCAGCATCATAGGAGCAGGAAGGCTGACGTTTTGGGCCTAGACCCTGATGAAGGCCTGCTGCGTTCATCCAGCTCTACACTTTGTTATCTCAGATTCTCCAGCATCTGCAGTTCCTACTATCTCCGATAACATTTCAGGGACCTGGGTTTGAATCCCAACAAGGCAAGTGGTAAAATTTTGGCGCGGCACGGTGGCTCAGTAGTTAGCACTGCTGCCTCACAGCGCCAGGGACCCGGGTTCGATTCCACCCTTGGGTGACTGTCTGAGTGGAGTTTGCACATTCTCCCCAAGTCTGCGTGGGTTTCCTCCAGGTGCTCTGGTTTCCTCTCTCAGTCCAAAGATGTGCAGGCTAGGTGGATTAGCCATGCTAAATTGCTCATAGTGTGCAGGGATGTGTAGATTAGGTGGATTATAGGGGCATGGGTCTTGGCTCTGAGGGTCAGTGTGACTTGTTGGGCCAAAGGGCCTGTTTTTAATGTAGGGATTCTATGAATTTAAGTAGGCAATCTGCTATCCTGAGCTGGTCTGGCCACCATGTGACTCCAGATTCACAGCAATGTAGTTAACTCTTAACTGCCCTCTGAAATAGGCAATAAATACTAGCCTTGCCAGCAATTCTTTCACACCAATGACTATAACAAAAAATGCTTAGTTTCTGAAGCAATTTCCATTTGTGTTTTTGATTGGAGGGTTCCTAGGCTGCATTTGGACCTGATTGGACAGATTTGGATAGTAGTTGGAATCTGATTGGTGCAATCCAGGCTGTGTTAGGATCTGATTGGACAGATTTGCTTTGCAGCTGGGATCTGTTTGGTGCAATCGGGGCTCTGTTGGGATCTGATTGGAGGGATCCAGGTTATAATTGGGATCTAATTGGAGACATTCTGTGCTGTGTTGAGATCTGATGAGAATTAGCCCAGGACGTATCTGAAGGGCAGGAAAACGGGCTGCAATGTGTTAATTTAGGTCTGAGTGATTATTTGGGTGGGACCTGCGCTTGGAGTCAGATTAGTTAAAACCTGGTCATTAAAATAAAGCCACAACACAATCCCTGACAATTTAATAAAATGGGTACAGAGAATGATTTAAGCAACAAGAGCTACCTTCAGGCAGAATAACAGGGCACAGCCAGAAATATCAACATTAAAGGCAATTTCTTAAATAGCAGCAGAGCTGTGAGGAAAGTCCGTAAATGACATTCAGTGAAACATTCTTTCCCTAACAGAACTCAGGCACAACAGGAACGAGGGCTGAGAGAGAGAGAGAGAGAGATTGAGAGGCTGTTGGGGTCAGTACACGACAAGTAGGAGTCTGTCCTGCAAATCTGGTAATGAGACAGGCGGGGCGGGAGTTAATTTCAAAGAAAAATCAAAACGAGCCGATGTTGAAACCATGGAGGGCAAGTGACACTGGGTCAGGTCCCTGAGCATGTGTAGGAAGATGCATCGTCCTACAATTATCTCCGACATTTATAGAACTGATGGTGCCAACCAGTAACTAGACCAATAGAAGCTGGGCTGGGCTCTTTGGCTTTAAATAGAATCAAGAATCAGAACTGATGAGTGTTAATCATAAATCAGGTTTGATTCAGCCGAGAGCAGCTACTGAGAATAAAGGAAGAGTGAGTGAGAGCGAGCAACACAGCCACACACTTCCATTGGCTGTTTAAACACTGGATCCCTTGAAACCTCTTTACAGATCCGATTCCAAGGGATTACTCCTCGTGGCGAGTCAGTAAAGTGGAAGAAACCAGTTCCAGATCACGGACAAAGGAAAGCAGGCTAAGGTGAGGAAAATCTTCTTTGTAGACGGAAACATTAGGAACAGGGAGAGGACACACTGAAGCTTACTTTGTCATTTAACCAGAATCTCGGCTGCAGTGTATCTATGTTTACAAACTGGCCAGAACATTACTATTAATCCCGGGGACCCTGCCGTGAGCAAAGCCAGGAGAACAATCACAGGGGCATTCAATAACATTTGTGTCTTTTTTTTAATTTCTGTTTTTTTTTTATTCATTGTCAGAGACTCTCAAAAACATTTATGGTGAGTTTTTAAAAATTGTTTGTGGGATGAGGGTATCACTAGGCTAGCTTTGTTGCCCAGAGGGTAGTTAAGAGTTGGCCACATTGCTGTGGGTCTGGAGTCACGTATAGGCTAGACCAGGTAAGGATGGCAGATTTCCTTCCCTAAAAGACATCAGTGAGCCAAGCTGGTTTTGTGTTAATGACAGTTGTGATTTTAGGGTACCTTCTTATTCCAGTTTCTTTTTTTTATTGATTTTCAAATTTCACTAGCTGCTATTATAGATTCATACAGCACAGAAACAGACCCTTCGGTCCAACCAGTCTATGCCAAACATAATTGCAAACTAAACTAGTCTTACCTGCCCACTCCTGGCCCATATCACATCACACCACACCACCTTCCCCGCCACCCCCCACCAAATCTTTCCTATTCATGTATCTATCCGAATGTCTTTTAAATGTTGTAATTGTACCTACATCCACCACTTCCTCAAGAAGTTCATTCCACATGCGAACCACCTTCTGTAAAGCAAATATTTGCCCCTCATGTCTTTTTTTTTAAACTCTCTCTCCTCTCCCCCTAGTCTTGAAATTCCACATCCTAGGGAAAAGACAACTCTTGTGGGATTTGAGATAACAAGGTGTGGAGCTGGATGAACACAGCAGGCCAGGCAGCATCAGAGGAGCAGGAAAGCTGACGTTTCGGGTCTGGACTCTTCTTCAGAAAAGATCCAGCTCTACACCTTGTTATCTCAGATTCGCAGTTCCTACTACCCCTTGTGGGATTTGAAGCCACATCTCCAAAATATTAGTTTCAGCCTCTGAGATTACTAGCCCAGCAACATTACCACTACATCATCATCATCTCCCTCTGTTCCCAGCACCATTTGTCATAATTGTGCTTTGTGGGCAGCAGAGTGGCCTAGTGGTTAGCACTGCTGCCTCACAGCTCCAGGGACCTGAGTTTGATTCCAACCTTGGGTGACTGTCTGTGTGGAGTTTGCATGCTCCCCATGTGTCTATGTGGGTTTCAACCGGGTGCTCCAGTTTCATCCGTGCGGGTTAGGTAGATTGGCTATGCTTAAAATTTCCCTGTAGTGTCCAGGAATGCGCAGGCTAGGTTGATTAACATTAGAATAGCAATTTATTCTCACTTGTATTTTAACAAAAAAAAATCAGTGAAAAGTTTTATAAGCTGCTGTACCGTGGTGCCTAAATTAATAACAGAAGTCATAAATAAGGGGGAAAGAAAAGTGCAAGTTCATCACAGTTCAATTAACGGCTCCTGGGTTTGGGACACGCTGGAAAACTGGACCAAGATCACCATGCAGGGCCAAGAAGAGACCTCCACGCCAGGACTAGACCTTAGCACCAGGCTGCTGAAATAGACCTCCACGCCAGGCCGAAGCTGTCCCTCCTGGACAAGGCCACCACACTGGGAGACCATCCCACTAGGCCAATACCATGATTCCAGGCCGTTGGAAGCCCACTTTAACGCTGAGCCATAAGACCCCTTCGGCCAAAGTCGTTCAAAGAAGGTAAGTTACAATAATACATGGAAACATTTAAAAAAAAAAAAAAGGGGTAAAATAGTAAAGCGGGCTGAATAGACCAGCTCCAGGAGCCTGGGCTGAGGAGCTAACATGTTGCATTGCTACCCTGCTGCCACCTTGGAATAAAAACATGGTCAATGCAGGGTTACAGGGATAAGGTGGGGTGGGTCTGGGTGGGATGCTCTTCAGAGGGCAGGTGCAGAATTGATGGGCTAATGTAGGGATTCTGCAATCTTTATTGCGAAGGAAACGTCTTCCAATCTCCATCCCATCTCCCACCCCAATCCAAAATCCTTTGCCATTCTCCAATTCACTTCTCACAGCTCCCCCTCTTCAAAAGACCTCTTTTCCCTCATACCACTACATCCCCACCCACGTCCCTCCCCCACCAAGTTCCCTCTCAATTTTCGTGTCACTGCATGGACCTTTTGAGGTGACTGTCTATTGTAAATAAATCATTTCTCTAGGTTACATTTTCCATTAACATGAAGGAAGATTCATTGCCGGTAATGTTCTGGGGACCTGGGTTTGAATCCCACCGTGGCAGATGGTGGAATTTGGATTCAATAAAAATCTGGAATTAGCAGTCTCATGATGATTATGAATCCATTGTCAATTGTCAGAAAAACCCATCTCGTTCATTAATGTCCTTTTTAGGGAAGGAAACTGCCATCCTTATCTGGTCTGGCCTACACGTGACTCCAGATCCACACCATAGTGATTGGCTCTTAATGCCCTCTGGGCAGTTAGGGGTTCTAAGGAAGGGTCACCAAACCCGAAATGTTAATTCTGTTTTTTCCTTCATAGATGCTGCCAGACCTGCTGAGCTTTTCCAGCAACTTTGTTTCTGAAACTGAAATGCTGTTTTAACTTGCGTTTATTGCAAGTGGTGAAGGGGTTGTGGCCTTTGCAGATGGTTGTTAATCAGCTGACTGCAGCTTCCAATGCTCATTAGGAAGTGGTTGGATGGTTTAGTGACTCATGTTTTGGCTTAGTCTCTCCAAACAGTGCCTAGCTGATTTGGCGATAGACACGGGGTTGAGGTGGAGTTTAATCTCCAATTGAAGGGACATTCTGTGTTTCTTGACTCGTTCCTGGAGTGGAGAACTACGCCAACCCATTGCCAGAGGTTCTGAGGGATTTTGTCCAAATTCACTAACACGTGAGCAACTTGAATTGGGAAATTCTCAAGAAGACTTCAGCCAAAAATGTGGGTGTTGTCGTTGAAGCAAGGCAGTGTTTGGTCATTAATATTTTACTAGGTGCTCCTCCAACCCCACCACCACCACCGCTCCACACACCACCCCCCCCACCCCCCCCCCCCCCCCCGCCCCACCAAGCAGAGGGAGGAGGTAGTGGGATAAACAACAGCAGTTGTGAGAGGAGAGAGGGTGAGGAGGATCAGAAGGGTGAGGAGGACTCCTGTGATACAGGACATTCTGCCTCTGTTAGCACCTCCAGAGCCATTTTTGTTTAATTTCACAAATCTACTTTATTCGTACAAGATATCTTTATATACATACATACTCACAAATGCATTTCAGTTCTGTACGGTAACTTATCAAGGAAACAAACAAACAAACAAACCTAAAGCATCTCTTACTTGAACTACACTATATATACATGCATTTGAGGCACCAGGAGGGTCCAATAACTGAACAGACCCCAACTTAACTTTGGCAGAAAGACCTCAGACGGTGGTTTTTCCCCACTGTGCCTTGGCGGAAGCTGCCCCAAGCTTTAGTGCGTCCCTCAGCACGTGGTCCTGGACTTAGAATGTGTCAGTCTGTGATACTCAGTCTGGGTCAACTCCTCCTTGTTCTGGAAGACCAACAAGACTCAGTCAGACCAAAGAGCATTTTTTTTACTGAGTTGATGGTCCTCCAGGCACAGTCATTGTTTGTGATGGTATGCGTTCCAGAGAACAGACCGTATAGCACAGAGTCCTGTATCACGGAGCTGTTCGGGATGAACCTCAACAAAAACCATTGCATCTTCCACCAAAACTATGTCTGAGGGACAGTGCAGCCTTTCATCAGGTCCCTGGGACACGTTGTAAACTGCTAATGTCAGTCAGTCAGTGTGTTCCCCACTCTCAGTGGATGTGTGTACCAGAGCTCACTTTCACTATTCTAATTGTGTCCAATAAGAGGTTGAGTGTAACCTGTGGGTGCCTGAAACTAATTCAAATCATCGAATGAATCAGTTAGAGCCCAGCTCCAACTCTCAATCAGGCCAGTCTCTTCAAGCCCAGCGTGCAATGTCAAAACCACAACCAGGCAGTTCCAGTCACTCTGTCTGCCTGACCTATAAAAAGAGCAGTGATAAGAAAATGAGGAACAAAGTTGGAGATTTCTTGAAAGAAACAGTTAATTAGAAGGAAAAACAGTTTGAAATTTCTGCAGAGCACTTTAGTTTAGCATTTTAGGAATTCAAAATGAAATTGTGTATAGTTAAAAATTATTTTTGAAGTGATAGTTTGGTCCTCTAGGAGTATGACTTCTCACTAGAGATTATAACCTTCCTGCTGTAAATATATACTTGGGACCATGCAACTGAATGTGCTTCATTTTGCAAAGTGAATTGATGCAATAGTTTCAATGTTGCAATGGGTTCTGAACATGGGACAGTCTCTGCTCACTTGTAGGGAGAAGGAGATGCTGTGCAAGGACAGGAGCAGGCTAGCAGGCAGGATTACTGCAGCCAGTGTCCTCAAATCCTATCAGGCCTTAAGTTGTGGCATGTACCACTGGTGATCAGGAGCAGGCAATGTCTTGTCAAGCACCACACTCTCTCACAGGTACTGTATCTAGCCCAACACGTGTTTTCGGGAATGGTGGGAACATGCCCTGGTGATGGTACTAACAGTGGCACTATATCTCAGTCAGAGTGGACCTGTACCCAAATACCAGTAGAACTATATCCCAGTAATAGTGGGAAGATTGCAAAGGAAGACGTTGAGTGGACAAATACATGACAGAAGAAGTCTAATGCGGATAAGTGTTCTCCACTTTGGAAAAACCAGAATGGCGGGTTAGTATCTGAATGGTGATAGATTGGGAATGGGGGAGGTGCAATGTGACTTGGATGTCCTTGTGTACCAGTCGCTGAAAGTAAGTGTGGAGGTGCAGCAGGCGGTGAGGAAGGTAAATGGGATGTTGGCCTCCATAGTGAGAGGATTCGAGTACAGGAGCAGGGATGTCTTGCTGCAGTTGTACAGGGCCTTGGTGAGACCACACCTGGAGTATTGTGTGCAATTTTGGTCTCTTTACCTGAGGAAGGATGTTCTAGTGGTTGAGGGAGTGCAGCGAAGAGTTTACCAGCCTGATTCCTGGGATGGCAGGACTGACGTATGAAGAGACTGGATCGGCTAGGACAATATTTGCTGGATTTTGGAAGATTGAAGTTGGATCTCATAGAATCCTACAAAGCTCTAACAGGACTGGACATGGTAAATGTAGGAATAGTGTTCCCAACAACCAGGGAGTCCAGAACCAGGGGTTGTTTCTGAGGATATGGTAGGCCATATCAAACTAAAATGAGGAGAAATGTCTTCACACAGAGTGGTGAGTCTGTGGAATTCTCTGCCACAGGAAGGAATCAAGACCAAAATATTGAATATTTTCATGAGTGTCAGTTACAGTTCTTAAGCTAAAGGGATCAAAGAGCATGCAGTGAAAGCAGGCTTAGGGAAGCACGGTGGCTGAATAGTTAGCACTGCTGCCTCATATCGAACCTGGGTCCCTGGTGCTTCCAGCCTTGGGTGACTGTCTCTGTGGAGTTTGTATGTTCTCTGGGTGCTCCAGTTAGATGGATTGGCCTTGCTAAATTGCCCATAGTTTCCAGGGATGTGTAGGTTAGATGGGTTGGTTATGGGGATAGAGTGGGGAGGTGGGCTTGGGTGGGATGCTCTTTGGAGGGTTGGTGTGGACTCGATGGGCCAAATGGCCTGCTTCTGCAATGTAGGGATTCTGTGATTAGAGCACTGAGCTGGATGATTAGCCGAGATCATATTGGATGGTGTAGCAAGCTCAAAAGGCTGGATGGCTTGTTCCTGTTCCTGTTTCTGTTTTCTGTTACCTGTTTCCCATTTTATCCTCTCTTCTTCATACTGGAAGACTAATGCACAAAACTTCAGTAAGAGATGGCTTCCTGATGATGGAGTGGTAGGGAGATAGTCAGTCAGCCTCGTCATTATCTCTTCCTACCATATTTTTCTTTCTGTTTGAAGTTTCTATCACATTTCTACAAGAGCAACACTCCACATGTCTGTTTTTAAAATTCATTCACTGGCTGCTGTTAGCATGCGAGTTCCAGGATTTTGACCCAATAACACTGAAGGAACAATGATATATTTCCAAGTCAGGATGGTGAGTGTCTTGGAGGGGAACTTGAAGGTGGTATGCTCCCAAGTATGTGCTGCCCTTGTCCTTCTAGATGGAAGTGGTCGTGGGTTTGGAAGGTGCTGTCTGAGGAGTCTTGGTGAATTTCTGCAGTGCATCTTGTAGATAGAACACACTGCTGCTACTGAGCGTTGGTGGTGGAGGGAGTGGATGCTTGTGGATGTGGTGCCAATCATGTGGCTACTTTGTCCAGGATGGTATCAAACTTCTTGAGTGTTGTTGGAGCTGCACCCATCCAAGCAAGTGGGGAGTATTCCATCACACTCCTGCCTTGTGTCTTGCAGATGGTGGACAGGCTTTGGGGAGACAGGAGGTGAGATACTCCTCACAGTTTTCCGAGCAGCTGACTTGCTCCTGTAACCATTGTAGATGGTGAGTCCAGTTGAGTTTCTGGTCAATGGTAACACCCCAGGATGTTGATAATGTGGGATTCAGTGATGGTAATGCCATTGAATGTCGAGGGGCAGTGGTTGGATTGTCTCTTATTGGTGATGTTCATTGCCTGGCATTTGTGTGGCACAAATGTTATCACTTGTCAGCCCAGGCCTGGATATTGTCTGGATCTTGTTGCATTTGGACACAGACTGCTTCAGTACCTGAAGAGTTGTGAATGATGCTGAATACTGTGTGATCATCGGCGAACATCCCCATTTCTGACCTTATGATGGAGGGAAGGTCATTGATGAAGCAGCTGAAGATGGTTGGGCCTAGGACACTACCCTGAGGATGTCCTGGAGCTGAGTTGACTGACCTCCAACAACCACAACCATCTTCCTATGTGCCAGGCATGGCTCCAACCAGTGGAGAGTTTTGCACCCAATATCTATTAATTCCAGTTTTGCTAGGGCTCCTTGATGCCACATAGTCAAAGGTAGCCTTGATGTCAAGGCCTGTCACCCCCACCTCTCCTCTGGAATTCAGCTCTTTTTGTCCATGTTTGAACCAAAGTCTTACAGGGTCTGAATTTACTTCTGCTATTTTTTTTTCGGCACCAGCAGATAATATCTCTTAAAAGATCATATTTTGGAATTAAATGTTAACAATGTCTGTGATATGATGGGGTTCTGACCCATCATTGTAACAAAATATACCCAAGGAATGATGGAATTGTCCGAGAGTGTTCCTAGAACTGTACCCCAGCAACAGTTGAACACACCAGTAATAGTGGAATTATATCCTAGTAACCATGGAAATGTTGTTATGACTCACTGGAGAATAGCGCACTTTCAATCAAACTCGCTGTTCCCATTTGTTTAATCAACCAAATTTCTCAATTTTACCTCCAGCTGAATTTAGGTTAAAATAACATGTACCAGAGAATTTTTATTTTCATTGACAGGGAGTAACTATTTATTGTAGCCAAACTATGTTTTTAGCCAATGGCAAAAGTGGACCAAATGAATTGCTAATCTATAACTGTATAACTTAAACAATGGTGGTAAAAAGAGCAGGATTTCTACTTTATATAAATTAAACTTTGTTCCCCACTATTTTTGGGATGTTTTCTGTGTCCTCCTTTTGTGAAGGCAGAACCAAAGTGTGTTTTTAATTGGTCTACCATCCGTGTTCTCCACTATAACTTCCCCTGCTGCTGAGTGGTGGCGCCGGTGACGGCTGGGCTATGTGCCAGTGAGTGTGGGCCTGTGCCTCGGCAATAATTGTGACAGAATGAAAATAGACAGAAATATGAAAACACTTGATTAAATTGAGGTCAGACGTGTTGCATAAATCACATTATTGATATTCATCTTTCAACATATTCTATTTCCAGAGTCATTGTTTAAGTTCTTATTAATTTTGGCTTCAGTTGGAAGGCTATTGAGAATCTCCCACAGGGCAATGTTCGACAGCAGCATCTAATGATGCACTTAGTCCAAACTGGGTTGGAGCCAGGATTTCCTGGATGAGAGCCTGGGAACAGCCATGAGGCTGGGAACATTCCGGCTTTTAGGAAACAAACTCTTGTTAAACAATCGGACCTGACGCAATGCAATGGGATGAATCTAGCGATTGGAACCAGCTGAAACCCAGCGTAGGGGTGGGCTCTTCACTATTAATGAGGCTCCTGATTAACACTGTGGATGACTAGATACTACAGAGCCTGACACTCCTTCTAACATACACCAGAACACAAGGAGCAGCATAGAAAGCCTGCAAAAATTCATATGTACATGACAGCTGTGTACATCACAACCAGGTGGGGTGTGCATGGGCCCAAGTGTCTCCAACTGGAGGAATAGTGCAACAATGCAATATGTACAGGACAGTGTCAAGGGTGCACAGGACAGGATGCATTGTGTACAGGACTAGACTAACTTCAGCTGTACTCGAAATCTGAGGATAAGAGCAGCATGCACAGAGAAAGCTCAGAATGTGCAGGCTGAGCCTCATATGTACAAATAGTACCACACAGGCACAAGAAGGGCTCTGTGCACGTACACACAGTGATGTACGTAGATTCAGAGCAGTGTACATTCAGAGCACAGCATATCAAGGCAGAGGGCAGTGCCCACAGGTAGGGGGCTCCATGTGCACACAAGCATGGCTCTGTCTGTATATACAGAGCACTGCGTGTACAGATGGGGCGCTGTGTATACAAGCTGGTATTGTATTGGAGAAGTGGTAAGGAGGATCTTAACTGAGAGTCCAGCATCGTCCAATCAGCTATCAAAGAATCAGATTGACAAAGGTTCAGGAGTGTGGGGATGAGCCATTTCACCAAATGGGGAGGCAGTGTTGGGGGTGGGGAGCCGCAGTGAAATTGGTCCAGCCAGGGTTGATAACACAAACAGGAGCTCTGATGGGTTTCTGACACCGGCTTCCAGAAAGATCCAGGATCTTCCCAAGAAGCTTTGCTGGGAGGCTCCTTCCTTCAGGAGCCTAGTGTTAGATGCCCACAGTGTGTGAGAGGGCAACCCCCAGGATGGAATGGGTTAACGCTATCTGTCTGTTCCATGTCTACACCAAAACCGGATTATCCAGAGAACACTGAACCCTGCAGTAATCCCCAGATTATAGCACAGTTTGGAACAGTCTGCCCTCCTAAGAGCATTTGACAGAACAAAGCCTGTCTTTCTTCATGCTGCAAGTTCCCAGCCTCTCAACTCGATGTTTGTCGTACACAGGACTTTCTGTAACCCCTCCACTGTTTACCCAGCAAGCAGGAAGATGCTATTGGATAGAGAGGGGTTCACAGGTCACCGGAGAGCTGAGGGTTACTGAGAGTGCAGCCAAGCCTGTAGGGGTCAGTGAGTGACACCATCTAGGGATCAGAGCTGAGATTCAGCTCCTGCTGTCTCCAAGCTGACTGCAAACAGAGCCCCTCTCTCAGGACACCACTCACAGATAAGTACGATGTTCACATCTGCTTTTTTATTCTTGCTGCGTATTGTTTGTGGACAAGGCACACTGTGTCCTTGTGGGGATCCCTGAAGGGACGAGCTAATCAATGCAGTCAGTCCTCAATGTCGACACTGATTTCAGAAACAGGCTTCTTCGAATCCATTGCTTCAGGTAGAGACAGGGAGCGTGGTACCAAGCTCATCCCCCAGTACGCTTCACTGCTCTGAGACGGATTCATCATCAGCTTCCCACATGCTCACAGCTCCTTTTTTTTTTTTTTTTAAACTGAGCACCTTGTCAAATATCAGCGATGCACAATCACTGTTCACAATATGCACGCTGGCCTCAGACAAGCAGAAGCAGGAGCAGGCACACTCGGGCCTGGGATGGGCTGGAGCAGGGTCACAATTCTGCTTTGGGCTATTGCCTTACATTTGATTCTGGAAGAATGTCTGATTCGATGTAGTTTTGTATTCTACATTCATGAGCTGTCACTGTCCAGCCCCTTTAGAGCTATCACAACTGCTTTGTTGCCAAGCTTGGTTTTGACTAATTTCCAGTAATCTGACAGATGGAGTCCTTTACCTACAACACAGGTGTGACTAGGTCATGGCTCTTTGACTCAATTCCAGGCTGGTAACCAGTAGTACCTCTGCTCAGAGGCACACATGAGCACCTTCTTCAATATCACAACTTCTTCAACTTACAGACATGGGTTGAACTGATTTTTTTTTTTTTTTTTTTTTTTTTTTTTTTTTTTTTTTTTT